TAAAGGAATTTTAACACGTCGCAAGCAAGGTCAACAACGTCTGCTATGATGGTCGAAAGTATTCTGAAATTAAATTTCGACAAAACTCCTTTACAATTTCCTTCCACATCAAATATAGGGATGTTTTCGTCGATATTAAATAGCTGGATACTTTCTGGACAACATACGTATACGCAGGCGCATATGTAGACACGTGTGCATATATGTGCACAGACATATACAGTGTAACCCGGATATAAGAGAGTTGACGGGACCGGAGAAGTCTCTTATATCCGGGTTTCTCTTATATCCGGGTTTGGTCTATTTTATATACATTAACACAGGCTCTAATTTGGGACCAGAGAAAATCTCTCTTATATCCGGGTTTCTCTTATATCCGGGTCTCTTATATCCGGGTTACACTGTATTACATAAAATTTGATTATCTATAGGTAAATAGTTCTATGTATAAAGTAGCGCACCGTGAGTGCTGTTGGTACTAAAACAGTACTCGATATATTTTAAAGGTAATAAATACATAAATAAAATAAACAGATTAGAGGGCATGACCTTAAACAATACTAAGCTTTATAAATATTTAAACTGCCATTTGTATACAACTTCTTCCCGGGATCAATGGTGAAAAAAGAAAGGCTTTGAGCGTGGAACTTTTAACAAAGATCACCCTTCTTTGAACATTGGGAACAACCGCTACAAAACTCACAAAGAACTGTAACGAATAAATAAAAAATCATCACTTGAAAACTATCAACAGCAGCAACAACTAAAGGGGATTGCTCATGTAATTTGAAGAGAAAAAAATGAAATAGTCAATATGTTAACATTGAACACTATTTAAAAAAAAACGGTTTCCAACAGATCCTCCATCAATACTGAAAAGAGCTACTGAACTTGAGAAATCTATTTTCCTGAAATATTTGTTTTGAGAGAAATATTTTGCAGAAATCATAAGGAAATGACTTATTATTATGATTATCATTATAATATTCCATTACAATTTAGATTACCATTATAATTTTAGCATTTTAATTTTAGCATTTTAATTTTAGCATTTTAATTTTACCATTATCATTTTACCATTATAATTTTACCATTATATTTTAGCCGTAAACAAAAGCACGTGAAAATGATAGTATTTCCTCCTTCCACAATTTGTAGTGGCACTTAATGTGACGATTCTAGTGAGGCATAAATCTAATACCCACCAAGCAGCGTTAATGTCCACAATTTATACGACACTCTCTCCCCCGCACTCCCTCTATCTCTATCTATATATATATATATATATATATATATATATATATATATATATATATATATATATATATATATATATATATATATATTAAAGAGAAGAGAGAAGCCAAAACGTTTTAGGCTATAATATGCATTGGTTTAAATATATATTATACTATATTTTCCACAAATTTTGCTACACGATTTTCGGGTCTTGTGATCTCCATCAGGCGATGTCCACATATTATTCAAAGGAATTATTTTTTCCGTTATGTTTTTTCGTATTTTTAACCATTATCTATTGTCAGTCGTAGTAATACCAATTCTTCTTAGACTAGTGAAGAAAATGTTCCTCTGCTGAAGGCGTAATAAAACAATTAGAATATATATATATATATATATATATATATATATATATATATATATATATATATATATATATATATATATATATATATAACATATTACTGACTGAGTAGTGAGTTCGATCCTCTCTGGGTATTCCATACTTTGGGCCTTGTGTCACATCTAAGCAGCACTTAGAAAATCACTATATATATATATATATATATATATATATATATATATATATATATATACAAGTTTTCTATTTTTCCGTTATATATATATATATATATATATATATTTGTGTGTGTATGTGTTTTGCAGTGGGTAATTTTGATTTATTTGGGAGATTTGGGCGAAAGATATTCCCAAACTATTTCCCGGCATTCGCTTCAGTGCAAGACGAAACTGGGTTTTATACATGGGCGTCAGTGTATGGATTGCTGTTCAAAGATAGCCAGATAGCCTGCTAGCGAGATAATGTGAGCTCCAGTGGATATTACTCATAATATTGTCAGTGCTAATAATCGAATGTCTTCTTTGAATGGTCCTCCTTGCTGGCGTTCAACTGAGAAATGCCTGTTCGATGACCTGACAAGTTATCATTGCAATAGAACCAACGGAAAGGAAGAACTCTCTGATGATCAAAGCCTTCTCTCAAGATACGCCAATTCCATTTTCTCCCGTCCAACCTACGTTAGTGGAACGAACGCTGAGAAGTGAATGAATGAGGCTCTGAAGCCTATGGGAAGATCCAGAATTTAATGTTCCTGTTTGATTGTCTGGACATGAAGTAACCACTCTGTTAATCTCGCTGCGTTGTCCACTTGACCGCGGGATGCTCGGATGGGTGCACGCTGAAATGGATCCGACCGGAATCTACTATACTGGCGAAAGTGCGTGCGCTAGGAAGAAATCTATAAACACCTATGATCACTTCTTCCGATTTAGTTCTGCAGATCTAATGTTGACTTCAGCCTGTTCTCGGTGCTATGCACAAGAGGCTCTGGGTTAGACTTAATTAATATTCATTGGCTTATCGTTTACGAGTATTCACATCTGATTCTTTGACCAGATAAGCCCTATTTGATGTAATCTCAGTAAGATCATCCTTTATGCTTTACTTTTAAACAATCTATCTATCTATCTATCTATCTATCTATCTATATATATATATATATATATATATATATATATATATATATATATTTATATATATATTTTCTGTTTCTACGTTATTTTTATAGATGCAAATATTTAAGTAAATGCTCTGTTTATAATAAACAGTATTTACAAAATTTACCGGCCTGAATGTCCGAGATGTTTCGTGGAGAATATACGTTTAAATGGTATAGCACGTCAGGCTATATGACTGTTCCGTGCAGGATACAGGTTCAATTCCTGTCGGAGGACACATATCTACTATGAAATTACTTGAACATTCAGGCCAGTAAATGTCGTTAATATTGCTTATCATAAACAGACCATTTACTTAAATATTTTATCTAAAAAATATAACGTATAAACAGAAAATATATTAAAATAATTTACCTTCTCTCTCTCTCTCTCTCTATATATATATATATATATATAAAGATATTTTTGTAGGTACAAAATTTAATGATCGAAATAAAAGAATAAAACTAAATATTGCGAGACATAAAAAAGGGGGGGGAAAAAGTTTGCTCCTGTTTAAATATATTTCAACGGGAGATTTAAAATTGACACAGAAAATTGTTAATTTTGAATCTCCCGTTGAAGCCTGAAGAGCGGGAGCGAAACCGGTTGCTTCACCAGTTTTTTTTTTTAATATGTCTCGTAATATTAAGTTTTATACTTTTATTTCGATATATATATATACAAACCGATCCAAATGTAAAAGGAAGAATTTCAACGTTCAAAACATTAAATTAAACCGGGTCATAATACAAGAAGAGCAATAAATATTTCCGTTTAAATTTGAATTCTCTAATTAAACGTAATTTCATTGGTTTAATTTGAATCAACATCTTTCAATATGCTGCTTTCGTAACTTTGTTCTTCCTGTGTATCTGTGTAATTTTGAATATACTTCTCAATTTCTTTTGGCTTTTTTTCTTCTTTGTCTTTTCTCTTGGTAGTAGCGTTCATTTCTTATGCTTTCTCTTTTTCTTTTCTTTCCTCTTTCTTTTTTTTTTATTGATTTCTTATTTTCTTTCCTTTTTCTTTATATAAATCCATTTTACCTTTTATGGAATATGTTCCATAAATGGAAAATGAAGTGATATTTCATTAATTTCAATTTTAAATAAGAATTTTCATTACCATCCTTGTTAACCACCTGAAGAGACGTTTTATTTTAAACGGTGAAACGAAATGTACAATTTTTTAGTCGATACTTACAGGTTCGAATGTAACAGTGTATTACATACATACATATATATATATATATATATATATATATATATATATATATATATATATATATATATATATATATAATGAATCATTCATACAAAATGTAGATTAGTAAAGTTAATGATATAAAATGGCGAAATCGCTTCGCTAACAAAATGTTAAATATGCATTAACTCACAGATCACTCAATGTTATGTTCCTTGTTTTTAAAAATTATAAGCTATATAAGGTCTTTATTTAGTGCGTAAGTACTTTCGACTGTACATTCAGTCATCTTCAGGCATGGAAATTATTTTGTTTTTGGTAAAATTCAAATTGCATCCAAGACAAAAAAGCATACATACAGCTTATAATTTTTAAAAACAAGGATCATAACATTCATCTAGTGATTTGTAGATTAATGCAATCTACTAATCTACTTTTGTATGACTGATTCATTATAATATAAATTGAACTGCACCACATATTTGATATATATATATATATATATATATATATATATATATATATATATATATATATATATATATTAGTGGTAAATATACACATACATATGCAATCAGATATCTAAAATATATAAATATATACATACGATTCCAATAGAATAATTTATGACCATGGAATATTAGTGTTTAAGATTTTTTTTATTATATATATATATATATATATATATATATATATATATATATATATATATTTATTTTTGTTTATTTGTGGAGCAATCCTGTTTTACACAAGTTTCATTAAAAATAACTGGCAAGATACTGTCTTTAAGCTCTGTATTTAATCTTTGTTGTCTTCTTATAACTTACTTCTTTTCTGAACATAGATTTTATAAAAATTTTCAAACTGTTTCGTTTGTCCGAGCACCTTCGGCTATACTTTTCGCAATTATCAAGGATGATTTTATTTTTACTTTTAACTCAGAGTATCGTTTGTGTTATGGAATATATCTAGAGTTATAGGAATGTTTTATTCGTATATATATTTGAAAGAAAAATGGCTCTAAGACGGTTGCGTACTGCATAGTTGCGTCCCGGACAATTGCGTCCCGGATATTTGCGTCCCGGACATTTGCGTCCCGGTCAATTGCGTCCCGGACATTTGCGTCCTGGACATTTGCGTCCCGGACATTTGTGTCCCGGACAATTGCGTCCCGGACAATTGCGTCCCGGACATTTGCGTCCCGGTCAGTTGCGTCCCAGACATTTGCGTCCCGGTCAATTGCGTCCCAGACATTTGCGTCCCGGTGATTTGCGTCCCGGACATTTGCGCCCCGGTCAATTGCGTCCCGGACATTTGCGTCCCGGACATTTGCGTCCCGGACAATTGCGTCCCGGACATTTGCGTCCCGGACCCTGATATCCCTAAATAAATGCGTCCCTGGATGATTGCTTTCCTCTGATAATTTTTGAAGTTCTAAAGGCAATTAGCATAAATTTTGAAAAAAAAACATTAGTAGTCATCATAATTTTTTAAAAGGAATAAGATAAAAAAAAAATTAAAAGATTATTTTTGTTTAAAATGCAATGACAGATTAACAGTGTTGCAAGATCTCTCTAGCCATCACCAGTATGTTTTTATTTTATTTATTTTTTTAGTTATATATATATATATATATATTACAATAAACGTGCAATCAATTTACAAATTCATGAATTATTCACACAAAAACAAAAGCAAAGTTTAATGATTTAATTGACGAGAAATCCATCATCGCAAACAATTCAAATAATATACAAAAACCTCCGAATCCGTTATGAATGAATTGATCCTTGTTTCCATAAATTTCTGTCGTATTAGTTATTATTTTTACTACAAGCTTTCGTCTGTTCCTACAGACATCTTCAGGTATAAAATAGATGTTGTTCTTGTTTTTTCTCTTAGTAATAAGAGGACAACGAAAATATATGTATTGTTGTATCCGAAAATGCTATTGAAAATGAGTTATTGTTTTTGGAGCGCGCCCGTAGCAACGCTGAGTTTGATTTAAAATTTTTAAAGGTTTCAATAGCATTGGTATAATTTTAGCGTTCTGATTTCAACGATAGATGACACGCCGAGCCGAAGTTTCAAGAAATTAACGGATTACAACCCAAACTGAAAAACCTTAAATATTTCTATATGCATTTAAATATATAAAAATTCTAGTTTGTCTATGTGGGCATCAGATGATAATTATATTTCTAATTGCAGGTATATATGTCTCGTAGGTATTATGTTTCTTAATTTTTCACACGCTGATTTGGAATTTTTTTTTTTTTACGTACATACCGTTTATTTCAAATAAACATACGTTAGATTCTTTAAGAATCGATTCAATAATAACTGGCAATGTAATATAATGTTTTTGACAAGTGTTTATAGTTGCTAATATTAATCAAGATCTTTCAGTACTTGTGAAGATCTTTGAAAAATTAAAATACCGAAATTTCTCTCTGAATTTCTCGGATGAAGAGTTACCATTATTTGCACTATTTATATTCGGAATATTGTCCACATCTTTGTTGTTATTATCTCAACCTTTCGGCCGTTGAGTTCTCCGGCTTCCTCAGGTGGATATGTTGACTGTGTTTTGAAAATGAAACATATGGATACATACATACATACATACATACAGCAATCTGTTTATAGTTAACTGTTATTTTATCCTTGAAAATGGCTAAACGTATATCCGAAAGCTCTCGGAAAACTATAAAATTTGGACAGTTTTTATATAAATTCATCTACTGAAAAAAAAAGAACATCACCTGAGAAATTATATATAAAAATTAATCAAACAAAATTGTCTGTCATATTTGATGCAACTTGCATATATATATATATATATTATATATATATATATATATATGTATTGGCATCTAGTCTGCAGATGCTCTCTCACAAACATGCCGTCGCCACCCTCTGTCTTTTTTTTTTTTTTTTTTAAAATACTTTCATGGTAACTGCTCCGATGAGCTGCTTTCGCTGGTTCCTAGACTTCATGAATTTGAGCGTTCTACTAGGCTGGCATCTCACTGTCAAATGTAACCGTCTCTTTTACTCCAATAGCTTCATGTCTCGCACCTCTCGCCAGTGGAACTCCCCCTACTTTTCCTGTTTCCCTGATAGCTATAAACTCCACCTATTCAAATTTAATGTCAAATGATGTCTCCAGGTACCTTGATCTATACCCTATCTTTCTCGTCATCCTTTTCCTCTATCACTCCTCTTTGCTCTCACTCCAACTCTCTGTAATCCCTTGCATACTAGTGGCTTCCCGCCTTGCTTGGGGTGAAACGCTTAAAATACACACACACACACACACACACACACACACACACACACACACACACATATATATATATATATATATGAACGATCAAATCCGACAAATATTTTAATATATTTTCTGTTTCTACGTTTATGCTTAGAACTTATTTGATTAAATGTTGTGTTCCTTAATTAAACAGTATTACAGTATTAATAACACTTACCGTCAACAATACTATTCAGAAGATATGCATCTTCCGACAGTCTCGAACATTCAGGCCGATAAATATAATTAATATTGTTTACTTAAAAAACAGAGCGTTTACTACAATTTGTATCCTTAAAAATAACGTATAAAACGAAAATATATAGTGGAATCTTCCTTCGTTTTTGCGATGTATGAGGGTCAAGCAGCTCAGTTCTTAGGAAATGTGATTTAATTACAGTGGTGAAGTCTTTGTGCAGAACCAACAACTCTTCCTTCGTTTTTTCGATGCATGAGGGTCAAGCAGCTCAGTTCTTAGGAAATGTGATTTAATTACAGTGGTGAAGTCTTTGTGCAGAACCAACAACTCTTCCTTCGTTTTTTCGATGCATGAGGGTCAAGAAGCTCAGTTCTTAGGAAATGTGATTTAATTACAGTGGTGAAGTCTTTGTGCAGAACCAACAACTCTTCCTTCGTTTTTTCGATGTATGAGGGTCAAGAAGCTCAGTTCTTAGGAAATGTGATTTAATTACAGTGGTGAAGTCTTTGTGCAGAACCAACCATACTATTTGCAGGCGAGCCACAAGGTCCCCAAATAAACCTCCGCATGTTTTGAATATATAGAACCCAGTCAGTACTGCTATTTAGCCATATATTCTTCTTCTTTCTCCCATGGGCATTAGCACGTAAGCGAATGTAATGGATTCGACTGGAATTTGAACTCGGCTCTCCGATTTCTAAACCCGGACCGCTATCCGATACACACACACACACACACACACACACACACACACACACACACATATATATATATATATATATATATATATATATATAATAATCTTTCAAAAATATGCTGTCATATATATATATATATCATTCAAAAGTATGCTTTCAAAAATTTGGAAACTACCAGCGCCTCTCGTTTCATTTTATCGAGAGCTAATATTGTGTTTCGCAGTATCAAAGCACATCAGTGTGGTAGACATCCGATCGCTTCATATATATTTCAGGACCGAAAATAATTAGTGATATATATATATATATATATATATATATATATATCGAGGAACAAAATTGTGGATAGTAGTTATGGATCGTGGGGGCACAGTCCTATGGTCAATGGAAATGGATGAGTTCCTCCACGGAATATATGATCGAGCGGCGCTATATCGAGTCTAATTCGCTACCCCTTCGTAACCGAGGGCCGGGTTTCATTTCTCGGTAGTGGGTGCGCACTGCTGAGTCCCAAATATAGGACGAAACTGCCGTCCAGTGTTTTCTGCACTCTTTTTGAGGTTTATATATATATATATATATATATATATATATATATATATATATATATATATATATATTATATATATTAAATTTATTAAATTATAGTTAATATTTTTCCAAACATTTTAGAGGTCACCATACCATTTTATCTTTCAACCTGTTAGATTTTAGTAACATGTTAATATGTGACAAAGCACATATGATTCCATTTAAAAATAGTGATGACGTTATCAAGAATTAAAAATAAACCCATCAAGAATTCGTCGGTTGAACATCTTACAATGAAAATAAAATATTTCGAATGATCATATTGAAAACTTTTGTAAACACATCTGAGGGAACAGAAAAATATGGGAAAACGATATATAATGAACGATTAATTGTCTTTAAAGACGCCATCTTGAAAAATTACATCTTTCAAATGGTAATATTCTGATTTTCTTGATTTTATTATTAAGCACACTTGACACTGTGAATAACCATTTCAAAACCTTGTATCGGAAAAATATTGAACGAATAATGAATATTTTTTAAGGTTTTGGCTGGCAGCCATCAT